GGCGGAATGGCAGAACAAAAGCCCAGAAGCCAATCATGTCTGTTTAAATGATGCCGAGAGTCTCCGAGACGCGGCTACCCGGTGCAACTCGGCGTAACCCCCACACTTTGGCATCAGGCATGTGTAGGTTCCCCTCCACTGGTTTCCAATACGTCAGCTCCAGGTTCCGGTTCTTTGCGGGCCGCGGTGCACGCATGCTTTTGCACCCGTGACGTCTACCAAAGCGCGTGGCTGAGGATCATACGACGCAGCCTGAAGTGGGGCGAGACTCGAAAACGGTTATGCTATCGCACTCATTACGACACAGTGAAGCGCCTACAACAGTGGGCTCAGGCACAGCTCATCAACTTAGTTGATACATGGCTGAGTGCAACATAGGTGCATTTACAGGCAGAACCGCGATGTTGAATTTGATAGGAAGAAAAAAATTCTCCCATGACCAGTCAATTATTCCGATATACCTGAACAAGGACTGGACACCTCCGTATTCTCCTAATTCTCCTATCGAGACGGTAAGCAAGAACGCATATGGTGTTTGCGCGGCCCTCGCTTCGTGTGGCTCATCTAGGCCTCTGGGGGATGATCCTCGAGTACCTGGCAAGCATTTACTAGATGATGACCTACGCTGGCTGTTTCTCCAAAACCCACTATCTGTCAAGGCCATGATGTTGAGTAGAAGGGTGTCTTGCTATCACATTTCGAACTTACGTACGGCGACGTTGGAGAACAGCAGCACGATATCTTCTGTCGCTCCGCACCACGCACTCGAATTCGGAATTACAAGCCATAATTCAGAATGAACTCACCACCTACATAGAAGGAGCCATGCAAGACTGGAGGTACCGGTGAAAGGTGGGCCAACGCTAGGTGACAGGCACGTATATGGAAGTTCGGGTAATGGCTCGCCGTGACATCCCATCCGGACCCTTGGCACATAAGATGCGCGGGAAATGTGCCTCAGGCGGGATGTGCGCATAAGTAAAAGGGGGACACTGTATATGCTGAATGCGGTAAAGGACGCTCCAGCTATAGAATAATCTATATTTGCTGCAAGAAGCGAGGCGCCAATGCCATCGAGCAGACCAGCACAACACCCCGAGAGTAAGTGATCAGAGCGTTTCTGTTTACAAATGATCAGTTCATGGCTTATACTCAGTCACCTACACTTAGTAGTCGTCATCGCCGAGATAAAGCAGGGGGTCACCTATGTGCGCGCACTAGCTCTAATCGAGTCATCCAAAATTCCTAAGTAATTTTCCGCGAGAGCTTCGCTTCCTTCCTATTCACTAATTGTTCTCCAATCCTCCATCATGATCTCTGACACATCCTGGCTTTCCGTAGTGCTGGAGAGATTGAGAATGTTTGATATGTAGCATTAGAGACCCTGAACGTTGCGAGAAATGAGACGTTCTTGTACTTGCTGTTGCTGCATTACCATCCCTTGACCCGATTTCTCGGCCGAAAGACCAGTGATCTCAGCCCTCAACACTCTCGTTAAGCTTGACCGCCAGTTTCGTTAGCGAGTCAAGTGCATAATTCATAGAGGGGGGGCTTCACGCGGGAGAAACATATATTCGCTGGTCGCGTGCACCCACGCTTAACCACTTATTTTACATGAACCCAAAAGGAATCTCTGGGCTAAATCCAACCATCTCCTCTTCACCAATCTCCCGCTTCCCGCAAACACACGAACACCTTCAACAAAGTCTTGGAATACCATCTTTCTTGCCGGAAACCACATTTGCCAAATAGCTGTCTGCGACAATCCCCCACACGATAAACACACCGTCGCCTCTTACGTGCCGAAACAGTGTCCATTTTCGCTGCTATGCCTGTTCCAGCGGGCCTCGAGCAGTTCGGGACGCTCGACTGGGAGGAGGAGTATGAGAATCTTGTTTCCACTGGGTCCACTACTAAGGATGATTTAGATGCTGTAAGTTCTACCGCTTTGGTATTATCTAGACCTAACTTCATGCTCATGGTATCTAGGGCGATGCAATGTGCACTATGGACATATCCACCAAGACGACTGAAAGCGAGCTATTCTTCCTCGAGGGCGACTTCGATACCAACCCAGACATCGTGGAGTCTTACCAGCTCGCACCCACCAACGAGGTCATCTCCGCCGAGGATACAATTATGGAGCACACCATCCACCCCGCATCCCCAGTCCCGCTTCCACTCGAGGAAGAACATTCCCACAATTCAAGCGCCGGTCAGATCTTCCATCCCGGCTGGTCCGAAGAGACGCCCTCTTGGGACCCGGATACCGCTACCTCCCCTCAAGTCGCCCGCTGGGCCGTGTCCCCTGGCATCTTCAAGGATATCAAGTGGACAATCAACGCCTGCAGGGACGATGTGGCGGATAACAATATTCCACGTATTGCTTCAAGCCTGCTGCGTGCTGTTCAACACGTCTACAAAGTCCCCTTAGATGCCGGGATTGGCTACCCTTGTGGAGCACGTGGCGAGAAGTTCTACAAGCGTTGGCTCGGACCAATTCACCTCTTTCCTCGTGGTGCAATGGGCCTCAAGGAGCCTAATGAGCCAGATGTCCCGAAGGACGTCTACGTGCCTAACGGCATCAAAATACTCCCGCCATCGCCCCATGGCCAAGCATTCTATCCTCGTCCCTCGCCTCTGCGCTACGTCGCCAACAATGATGATGACCAACCTCCCAAGCCTTCCCAGTCAGCTCCGTCCCTGGTATTCTTTTCGGGTGAAAATTACCTCGATGTGGATGTTGAGATGAGTCAGTCCATGGAGACCGGGGAAATCACAATCCAGAAATACGAACAAGAGAGCGATCAAGATGCTGGTGAGGAAATCGAGTTCTCCCCTAAGGCACCTATCGAGACACAATTCGAAATCGAAATCAATGATCGCACCGTCCCCTCAAATATAGTCGACCAAGACGACGAGCACCTATCCGCTTCCAGCGAAGGATCTTGCTCTTGGCCCAGTTCCCCTCCATTGCCCTCCCGCGAGCTTGATTCTCCAGTCATCATATACGATGACGAAACTGTCGGCCTAGTCAGTGACGAAACGGCCTGCGATCTGCCCGAGCTTGCTTTGGCAGCCCATTACAAGATTCCCGAACTCGGCCTTGCTCAGGATCTGGACTCAGCCCCACTCTATTCGGCCTACCACGCG